ATTTACAATCCCATGTGTATTATACATGTATATTAACTCAAAATTTTGAAACTTTAAATGTTTATATCTAATAAGCTAATAAAGTTATATTAAAAATTCAAATGCCATTTACTATTAAATTAAAAACTCAAACATTTTATTAAATTAAAAATATGTGTTACCATTTAAAAAAACAAAGTTTACCCCCCTCCAAGGCATAAGGGATGAACTTAAAAAGTATTACATAGTTAAAAATTCAAGAATAATGTGTAACTAAAGATAATAAAAAAAAAAAATGTTTAAATTATTATTATTCTGCAAGTAATTGAGTGGGTTATGATAAAAAAATCACCCTGTATATACTATATGTATTTTTTTTTTTTTTTTAAGAACGTTTATTAGAAAATTTACAATCTATACAGTTATATGTACAATAAGTAAATATGTGAGGAGGAAGCTCACATTAGAGCCACCTGTGTATTATTAATTTTTTGTGGGTTAAATAATATTGAGAAGGTCTCTTGACCAGTTGCGTTTAAGGCGCCTATTTGGATTGACCGGAAGAATTGTTAAGTGTAACTGAGTAACGAGACGGTTTGGATGGGATTGCATTTTGGAATGTAGTCTTTTGTAGTATATGTGTGCAGTTTTTTTAACTGTTGCTATTTTGAGGTCTTCGTGGAGGGAGTTGTTGGTGACGTATCACGGTGCTTTGGTTATCATACGGAGACAAATAGACTGGAACGCTTGTATTGTCCTTATGTTATACGGCTTTGCAGCACCCCAGAGAGCGATACCGTATGACCATATTGGTTGGAGGAGGGATTTGTAAAGAAGTAGACGATGGGAAATGTGCTGGTTGTGTTGGATGAGCGGTCTTATTAGACGAAGGCGAGTATTTAACTGTTTCCGTTTACTTTTAAGATGAGGACCCCATGTGAGCGTTCTGTCGTATAACAAGCCCAGGTATTTCGCTTCACTTGCTTGTGGAATAATAGTGTTGTTGAGAATTATGTTAGGACAGTCATTTTGACGAAGGGTGGAGGTGATGTGGATTCCAGCAGGAGAGGAGTGGACTGAGCCTCGCCCTGGACAAGACCGAAGCGGTCTTGTTCACGGGCAGATACAAGTTTACTCCTCCACGGCTCGCCGTGCTGGGGGTGGAGATCTCGCTTAAGGACTCCTTGACTTATCTGGGTCTTGTCATAGACAAACGTCTAAAGTTCGGGCCGCACATTACTCGTGCAGCCCAGCGGGCACAGAAAGTCATGAATTGCCTGGCGGGACTCATGCCCCCCAATCTGGGAGGGCCGAGAGAGATGCGGCGCAGACTTTTAGTCAGCGTCGTACACTCGGTCCTCCTGTACGGGTCCCCGGTTTGGGCGGATACTCTTGAGTATTCGTCCAAAAACCGTGAAGCCCTGCTCAGGGTGCAGAGGCGGGCGGCGATCCGAACAGTTTCGGCGTACCGAACGGTGTCCGGAGTGGCGGCAGGTATCCTGTCGTCATTGCCGCCCGCCGACGAGCTCCGTCGAGAACGCAACCGGTCCCTTGAACCCGAGGACCGGCTAGCGCTCAGGCGGATGACCATGCTCCGGTGGCGTACTCGCCTCTCGGAGGAAGCGACGAGAGGCGAGTGGACCAGGTCCCTATAGGACCCGATCGGCTGGACAGGTGGGTGGACCGGACTCACGGGGAGATGACTTATCGTTTCACCCAAGTGATGTCCGGCCACGGCTGCTTTAACGAGTACTTACACCGTATTCGTAAAGCAGACATTAAATAATATATATATATAAAGTTTTTAAAAACATAAAAATAGAACAACACAATGGAACTGTTGTCTATATTGAATTTGTACATTTTGTTACGAATTATTTATGTTTTTTTTGTTACTTTGAATCCACCCTGTGATCAGGTCAAAAGTCAGATTTTCAAAAAATGTATATCAAATGTATTGATCCATACATTTTTTAAAATTAATACCTTTTCAGCTTCACATGGAACCTAAAATATAAATTTAATGTTTAAATTTTTTTTTATAAATCTAGAATAGGAATTTAAAGCAACAGATGAAGAGCTTAACAACGACAATACTATAAGAGACTCATTAAATGTTATAATAAAAATAATTTGGTCTTAATTTATGTTTTATAATTAACTACAATTTACATAATTGATTTGTAAATCTTTGAATAATATAAATTATTTTATAAATAGTATTATTAAAACAAAATAATATGATTTTATATTTAATCACTTAAAAAGTTAATAATAACTTAATTTTGTTTTAAAAATTTGTCGGTATATTTGATTTCGAATATGCTCTTCGTTTTTATTTTTCATCAATATTTTAGCCATAATTTAAATAATTTGTAAAATTACAGTTTATTCAAAATAATAATTTTTTTTTTCATTACCCTTTAATTATATTTATAGTTTCATAACGATAATTTGTGAACATTTTTTATTAATTTCGTAATGTTTCACCTTTGATATAAACTTTTAAAGTTGAGTTTTAAATAATTTAAAAAAAAGGAAAAGCCGAACTATTTTCTATAACTCTTTTTATTCATGTTTATGTTTTATTATTCATTATATTGATAAAAAATATTATGTGTATTTAAAAAATACTATAATATTGTTTATTGTGTCATATTTAGATAATAAGTAACAAATTTATTGTTAGAAAATTCAGGTGTCATGGCAAACATAAGTTTATATTGCGAACAATATATAAAACATTACAGCAGTTTTGTATGAGTGTCATGCACTACTTGTCGTCGAATATTAATTACAATGTTGTTAAAGATGCTTTTCATTAAGTATAATAAGAATAAAAACGTAAATTAATATATTATTTTTAGAAATTGGAATTAATATTATTCATATGATATGAATAAAATTATGCAAAATGGTTACATCATGACAACAATGCATTTTTTTTTTATAAAATGTCTAGCCTAAACAGTGTTGAAATCAGGATTTTTTTCTAGGGAGCTCTAAACATTGATGTAAGTCAATAAAAAATAGGTTTTAGTATTTTATAAACTTTAAACTAATAAATCTACTAATTCCTTCTAAAAGTTAAAACACTATAGATTTGTATCGAAGCGTTTTTTATGATAGTGATTTTAACAACTGCCAGAAATCATTCATATTTTACCCAACTATGCCACATCATTTTGACGCGATACTGATTCCGAATATGTCCTTCGTTTTCCTTTATCATCAATATTTCAGCCATAATTTAAGTATTTGTACAAATTACGGTTTTTTCTTATTCTTAAAGTGATTTTTTTTAACGCTAGTCTATGTACTTTTCTTAAAATAATATTTTTTTTTGAGATTTTGTAAGTTACATGTATTTTTATTTATTAGTTATAAAAAACAATTTAGATTTACCCTTTATTTCTTATAGGGTTGTTAACAATAATATTTTTAATGAAAATAAAATATTGAAATAAATTATAAAATAGAAAATTATCTAAATTAAAAAATGACTGGTCAATAACAACTTTTAGTTTAATGCTTTGAAAGTTCTTAACATTTTATAATATAGAATGAAGATGAAGCGAGAACGTTGTTACTTTTATCATTAGTTATTTCTCAGTTCGCTCTCCTCCTCTTTGGTGCAAAACTGTGAAAATCTTCCGAAACACTAATCCAAAAGTTGTTATTGACCAGACATTTTCTTAATTAGATAATTTTCTATTTTATATGCTAGTTAAATATATATCATATCGTTTTTAAAAATTAATTTGACACCTCAATATTACATAAGGGATGAATATAAAAAATATTTCATATCAGATAAATGAAAATTTCTATGTAACTAATAAAAAAAAAAAGTTTACAAAAAAATTATTATTTTATGATACTAGTACTAGCTGCATCCAACCGCGCTACATCCCATTTAATAAATAAAAATGCTTTTTACTCAATAAATACTTATTCTAAAATTGTTATCTACCCATCAAATTTAAAAAAAAAAAAAAAAATTCTACTTTAAAATTTTGGAAAAGATAAAATTTTATTTTTATTATTAATAAAAAATAATAAAAAGTATACTTTAAACGTAGTTTAAGAAGATACCCCCTAAATCCAGGCCTGTGCTAGAGGATATTAAATACAAAGTATATTACATGTCTAAATTACAAAAGACAATTGGAAACCACTGCACTTAGCATTTTCTTTTGTGTACTAGTCAATATAAACTAAAGAGACACGGATACAGAAAACTTTTTTGAAGGGAGTCATTCTATAAAATTTGACTTTAGGAACTTTTTTTTGGAAACTCATATCATGAACAAAACAAGTAGTAAAAGAAAAATGTCGCCAATTTATTTAATTAACATTATGCTAAGATATTACATATATTATAGGGTAGAATTATAATGACCATAATATCCTTTAAAATAATAAAGCACGAACCAATAACTTACGGTAGTCCTCTTACAATCTTTCATAATTTGTTTCCAATAAAACAATTGGAAGCTCTTCCCTTGGACTGTCTCTAGAGACAATCATATTACATAAAAAAAATGTATTAAAATTTGTTTTCATTTTAAGTTTTTTCTAATTATTCTTCAAATTTATTGGAATATACACAATATTTAAAACGTTTTGATATATTTAAAAATGATAATATTTTAATTTAAAGAAGTGATAATAGTTATCGCCAAAATCAAGCAAAAAGATGAAATTTTCCAACAAATTGGGTAAAGTAATTTTTTCTTAATTTTATTTTTAAATTGTTATTTAAAGATACCTATGAAATTTTTAAATTATGTTACATATATCAAAATTAGACGAATAAATTAAGCTATTTCCATAAAATAGATTAATAAACTAAAAATTAAACTGTTTCTCACGTGTACTTAAACTTTTAGACTGTATATACAAATTATTTTGGAAACTGTTAAAATTGACCCGTCGACCATTTAACCACGTGTGGGAAAAGTGATGGTGTTGTGGTGGAGAGTGGTAGGTTGGGATTGATCCGCAATCGTGACGGTGTCCTCATTTTCTGGTAAACCGGTCGTAGACTTTGTGGGTCAGTGGTGGTGACGTCCGGTAGATTTGCCTATCGCGAGTGCGTAAAGAACATTATTTTGAGTGTGCGACTGCGGCACTGTTGACCAGCAGATCGGTGTACACAAACAAAAAGAATGTCTGTTAGTGTTTAACTAACCACCATGAAGACGGTTACAGGTTATCTTTCACATAATTCGTTTTTACCGCAATTGTTTGTCGTGATAATAGTGTCTTTGTTATCGAGCTCAGTTTCGTCTTTAACAGTCGTTGATCCGCCGGCCAATACAATTGAAAATCATGAAGTGACTGATGTTGGTCGTGGTCATATGAAGAACATGATGATGAACCCGTATATGCTCATACCCCAATTGATTGCTTTAGGATTTGCACCCATAGTGTTGGTTAATCTGAAAATGATGATCATGAATGCGATGATGATCAATAATATGGCCTTAAATGCAGCCGCTTTTATGCTCATCCGAAATATAGTTTTTGGACGTCGACCAGGACCTACAGTCAAGTACGTCAATTATGGTTACAAAAACAAACACCAACCACATCGAAGAAGAAAAGCTGAAGAGGTTAAAATCTCGTAACGACCAAAGAAATAGTTTTCAACTAGACATCTAGTCCATTTTTGGTTTTAAACTATTAAATGTTATATTTTAATATTTGATATTTTAAATTAATAGCTAGGTAAAAATAATATATATTAATGTAATTTTAAATAGCAGTAAGTATGTACAATCGTTTAATTTATAATAAAGCTATCTGTGTTTAATTATATTATATAGATGTTAATTTTACTACCTGAATTTAAAGGTTTTTATAAAATTAATGTTGCTAATATATTACATTTTCAAACAAAAAATCGACATTTTTCTTTTAAGTCTCTAAATAATATAAAAACATTTTCATACATTTAAAATAGTATATTTAAAAATAACAGTAAAGAGAAAAATTATAAGCTTATAAATTAAATTTACTTTAGTAAAAATTTTCATTTTGTCCCTTTTCCTCGAGACTAACGTAATTATAGTGATTTATATAAATCCGTTTTAAACGCACTAATAAGACAACTCACACTAACATACTGTGGTCAACCTCAATATTTGAACGTGATTATTATGACTACTTTCTAAGCAGATATGTAAAATACTGATCGATAGTCGAAACTGCTTTGATATAGCGAAATTTTTTAAAGAAAATAAAATACAAAATATACTTTGATAAGAAATACAATTGTATAAGAGGTGAATATATTTTACACGTGTATTTTTTATGTTATAATGTATACGGGTATTATATTATAAATTCTACGCGTGTTTAAACAAAGAAATGAATACGTTATAATATTGATCACTTTTCAATGTTTTTTCATTTTAATTATTTTCCCTTGTAAACATATTTTTCTACAAGACAAAAACGTAAGTATGAAATATATTCCAGTTGTTTAACGTTCCTGTTAACGTGACTATGTCATATCTTAAAATCTACTTAACTGCTACTGTAATTGAACGCGGGTAAACTCTTAGTCTGCCGGAGTTTGACAGATTAAGCTGGGACCTTCGACGATTCCAGTATTCTAATTCTCAGCAGTCCTATTGGGAAGGGTCTTTGGCCCTTGTCGCTTCAGGCACAGACAGATAGACAATTATGTCGATGGCGACTAGTCATAGGTTGTCTAGGATCACGCTGGTAAATCGAGGAATTTCAAAGCTCATGCAGTCGTCTTTGCAAGTCAGGTTCGAGGTGTCGGACTCGATTGGACTTGGTTCAAGTTATTTGACACACGGTGTTCTTGCGTCAGTCTGATCCGTGATCCTTAACGGACAGAGGGTCGCAATCTGATCCCTATGGTTCCTATTTCTGACACTTTAACATACAGCTAGAAGGTAATAGTAGTGGTGGGTTACTGCGAACCCTTTTAAAGAAGATTTCCGCTATACTGGATAAGGAAGAATACGTCATCACTTGGTTTATAACTTCGTTGAGCGGTCCTCTTCATTGTTGTGACAGGTAAATAATTTGCAGAAATTTCAGTATGGTTTTTATTCGGGATTTTAATTTTTAACAATATCTTTTATTAATCAATTGTATTTACTTATTGTTATTATTTTGAAGTTTTTTTATGTTTTGTGTTCGGTGTTTAGGTATCATTTAAGTGATAAAAAATAATTAAAACTCGAAAACTTTATGAGTAGTTCTTTTTGATTATACTGTTATAATGTTTTTTTAAAAAAATTATATCATGTTATTACTTTGTCATTACCAAAACTCATAACTTTTAGCACTTACGTATTTTCTCAAAAGATTCTAGAGATGCCTAGGTAAGTATATATTTGTTTAAAAAAAACCCAGCACAGGGGGGACGCGGCACAGTGGTGACGTGGCATAGTTGGATCAAGTATTATGATATCTGATAGTGATTTAAATCACTATAAAAAAAAAACGCTTCGATGCAAATCTGTAGTGTTCAATTTTAAAAAATTGGTGGATTATTCCAAAAGCTACATTATTTGCTAGTTCATTATTAATATCCTAATTAAGATAAAGTATGTAGAATGAAAAAGGGATTATTAAAAAATATTATTTTTCATAAAAAAATTGTGTTGATCCATACACTTTTCAATAAGTTATAGCATTATAAAGTTAAAAATGTAAAAAATAAAATCGAGAATTTTCACACAATAATAGCATTCGGTAGCCATTTTCACCATGAAGATAAAATAANCAAAATCGAAAATTTTCACACAAAAATAGCATTCGGTAGCCATTTTCACCATGAAGATAAGATAAAGTCCGAAATTTTTTTTTTTCATAATAAAGTACATTACATTAGCTTTAATTTAAGATATATATAAAAGTGTCAGACCTTCCGGAACATTTTCAAAAGTTAAGTTGAAAAAGTTAATTTTTTGTGAAAAAGTTGTCATTTTAAATCCCCCCTTGTGGGCAGGTTAAAGGTTAAATTTATGAAAAAAATATACCAAATGAAAGGTAATGATATTATGGATCTATATAAAAAAGAATTATATTGATATGTTCATTTTTGAAAAAGTTATGGTACTTTTAAGTAAAAAAAATTGAAAAAAATTCGAAAATTAGCGATTTTTAAACTTGTAATTTTTTTGGAGGTTTCCCCCATTTACGGGGAACGAGGGAATTTTTTTCAATTTTTGAGGGTAATGCCTTCGACTAGATACGATTTGTGATCTTTTGACGTATCATTGAAAGAAATCGGTTCGGTGAGAGATGAAAAAAAGTGGTAACAGACACAAAAAAAAAAAAAAAAATAAACACATCTTAGTAAAACCAATACCTTCTCAGCTTCTCATCGAAGCTAAAACCAATAAACTAAATAAAACATTTTGTGTTGCATATTTTTGCATATCTCGAAATTTCAGTGCAATTTTGATTATATTTTAAATTAATACCGTAGATAAAAATATATTTTTAATAAATATATTTTTATGACCTAATATATTGAAAGTCATAACATGTACAATAATTGTAATAAATTATTTATTTTTCAACTAGTGTAACAAAAAAATATTGAAACTAAATCACGTATTTATTTTCAATAAAATATGTCGAATTTCTTGATAAGTTTTTTTCAATTTTTGATGATGATATCTTCAATGAGGTGAAATTTGAGTTTTTTTATAGTATTGATAAGCAAAATTGGTCTAGTGAAAAACTATAACAGCCATACTTCAATTGTTTATATTATTTTTTTTAGTTTCTATACAAATGTGGACATATTAAAACACATTAGAGATTATGCAGGTCCCGACTGTAAATTATTAGTCAAACTAAAAATGTTTAAAATTTTTCATTGAAGTTTTTACTTTTTATTTTTAATTAAAATTGAAAAAATTAACCAAAAAAGTTTTCATGGCATATTTATGCGTAAATATTGCTATATGCTTCTATGTGTTTTTCATGACATTGAAAGAGAAAGTATTTTTCTTAGTTTCACATGATTATTTTTTTAAGTAGAATATTATAATTCTACTTTATCGGAAAAACATACACAAAAGATGACATACTAAGTACCAACATTAATAAAATCACAAGATAAAAAATTACTTATATTGTGCTAACATTGAATGTCATCCATATTTGTTACATATTGTCAATTATTGAAAATCATAGCGAGTTCAATTATTTTTTAAGAAATAAAAAATTAATTAATCTATTAGATTAGTAGTAGGTATTGCAACGATGGATCTAGAATATTTTTTAGTGGATGATATTAACAAATGGTTATAAACAATTGTAGTTTATTCTTTTTTAACTATTATATAATTTTGAAAATAATTGTAAAAAAAATTAGTGTACATCTAGGATATTTATTAAACAAATTCAAAATATTGAAAATTAATGCTTCATTTCCTATTTTCTACGCCTATATTCACTCAAAAGATTTATTAAATTTTTTTAAGGGAACGTGATCTTTTAAACATATTACTTTCACACTTGATATTTTCATTGATATTTTAAAAGAAAATTACTATATTTTCGTGGATTATCAAAATATTAAAATGGACATTACCCACTCTATCACCCTTGTATAACCGTGTATTAATAAAACTATTAATAAATAAATTAGGCTTATACTATAGGTTTTTTTAAAGACTAAAATTTCTACACTTTCGCATACCATTATTTCTTTAGCTATATTTTGTATCAATAATAAATAATAATTCAAAACAAAACTTATGAATATTAAGTGGAAACGATGAAAAATGTATAAATCTGTCTGATCGAACTTTTTTAGTTTCAAAATTTTTTTTTAAGTAAATTAAAATTTAGTTAAGAAATAATTATATTATTTATCAAATTAGGGCGTTTCATTTTAAATAAAAACTAGTCTCAACCAACTAAGATAACTATTAAATAATTGTAATATGATAAGTCAAAATAAATTAGAATGTCAGACTGTTGACATTCTAATTATTATATATCCCACAACAGTTGCAAACTATTGCAAGGTGTAAAGAAAAAAATAATAAAAGGAAAATAATTTTAATATGCAATAAAATTTATTGTAACACATTATATATCACAAAATATTACTTCATAAACTAAAATTTAATAAGCACCATGTATTAAACACTAAATTTTTGTATAAATTCTTCAAACATATAATAACTAAAAATTATTTTGTAAAAAATATAATTTTTATAAATATTAACTACAAGAAAAGTGAAACTAACAATTATTCATTTATATGTTCATATACAAATATAGAAATAAAAATGAAGATAAAATAACAAAATAAAAATATTTAAGCAAATGAACATCGTAACATAACATTTAATTTTGAATGTCGTTTAGCAATCTGGTGGTCAACTAATTCTTGTGAAGTTAGGTCAGGTCTTAATTTATTCAACCATAAAATAAATTCATCACAGCTTGTCTTACATGTAAAATGCACAGTCCAATTGCTACAACTTTCTTCTTTTGTTGCATCATAGCAAGCCCATTCCTTAAATATATAATAAAAAGTAATTAATTATTATAAAATAACATCAAGTTGCTTGTACTTACAAGTATAATATAATAGTGTGTAGGTGAAGGTGAATATTGAATTGAATCCAAGTTTATCAACTGCTTATGATCTGTGATACTATGAGGGAAATCATATAAAATCATATGATTGGTAGTCAATAAGCAACAATGTCCTTTAGGTAAAGTTGTAAAAGTCTTCAATTTTTTTTTCTGAAAAAAAAAAGATACTAATAAAATTGACCAGAATTTAATGTAATTAAATAATTTTCATACCATGAGCATAAACATAACAATATTTTTAATTAAGATATGTATTTAAAACATATATTCTAAATATTGACTGTTTGCAGATTAATAGCGTTAGCAACAACTTTTGGACCACAAATTAAACAATAAATTAAAATGTATACATAATTGGTCTATTAATATTGTATTTAATTATATTTATATAATATAAAATAATATATATATATATATATATATATAT